CTCGGGGCGCGAGCGAGACGCTCCGGAGCGGGAGGGAAAAGGCGGGTCTCCGTCTTGTTTTGATTCGGCTGCGCTGACACGCTCTGGCCCCGCCCCGCCCGTGACGACACTGGGGACTCGGCCTGGCCTCGCCCACCAGGTGACCTCACGGCGGACTGACCCTCCCGCGTGACGTCACGCCCCGCGCTGAGTCGGCCTCCTTCAAGTGACGTCATCCCGGCGCCCTCGCCCCTGGCCCCCTGAGCTCGCGCGAGTCTGGGAACCGCCGGCCCTGAAACGGCCTCGCCCGTCAATCCGATGGCATCTGAAGTTATTCGGTGGCCTCCTGACCTTCGTGTAACGGAGGCTTAGCACACTAGGGTCGGGAGAAACCGGCGGCGAGCGGAGAAGGCATGGAAGACAAAGGATTTGGACTTCGGGTTAATAATCCATTGAAAAGCGTTGCCATTCAGGAGCAGCCTAGGATGCAATACTTTGAGAAACAGGATTGAGTTTCTGACAAAGCCCGGGTCCCTGAATGGGAAGCCGGCACAGGCTAGGGCGCAAGTTCTTTCACACAGGACTCACCGCCCACGGGTGTAGCTGAGTGTGGCTGTGGCCCAGAAGTAGGCTCTGCCTGGGGGGAACCCGACATCCCTGCGGAGAGGACTGAGCCGTCCTGAAAGATGGGTGGTCACTTTGTGAGCAGGCTGAGATTAGAAGGTGACACCTTCGGTGAGAGGCAGACCTGAGGGCAGAGGGCCCCTGGGAACACTTGCACATCGTCTTTTTCTGTAACTCTTTTTCTACCTTTTTGCATATCAGCTCCTTCCCTTGCCCCAGGTCCCAGCTCCAACACATCACTTCCTTCTGGAGGATATATCTGAGGCTCCTTCTGAGAAGAGCTACCACAAGTATCACCTTTTGTATTTCTTTCATCCATCTCTAACTATTTTGTCACTTTATATATTTACTTATTTTCTATCTCCTCGCTCAAATGAAAGCTCCATAGGGTAGGAGATTTTTCCCCTCGTGGACACCTCAGGGAACAGCTAGCATATATTTGTTGAATGTATAAATAAGTCTTTTCTTATGAACTGTGGAGGAAAAACTATTAGTCGACAGTTTACAGTTTTCCCCTCCTATAGTGTGATCTTTAATTAACCCAGCTCCTCAGTAAAGGCTCTGTGGCTGGGTTGCAAAGCTTCTAGAGACAGGGAAGAGTACCCATGCTCACAGAAGCAGGGATTCTAACAGGGAACTCTAGGCCTTCATTGCAGAGTCCACAGCAGAACCTGGCGCTGCAGGGAGGAGTGCTGGATACTCGGGAGCAAATGCTGGTTGCATATTTTGTGCCTATATTTTCATGCCTATTTCTCCCCCACTTGACATCCTCTAGAGCCAGGATTGTGTCTGTCTAACTAGCTGTGGAGTCTAGAGTAAAGCCTTACCCAAAGTAAGTGTTCAATAAAATTTTGTTGAATGGAGGATGTTTGACGCATTCTTCCTCTGGCTACATTTTTCATAAATCATCAATTCTCTAGGAAGTCTTCTCTGAAAACCCAAGGCTAGATTTGTCCCCATGTGCGCCCTGTATCTTCCCCACCAGCTTGCATACACAATATTGAAATTGCGTATTTACTGGTCTCTTGTCTGGGCTCCCACTGGACTATAAGCTCTGTGATGGCAGAAACTGTCTTAGTTGCCATTGTATCCTTGGTACCTAGAACAGTGCATTGTACACAGTAGGTATTTAATAAATGCATGACAAATATATGAATAAATAAATAGACGGTGCTTTGAAGGTAAATGTAGCAGGATTTGGTGGCCACTTAAATATGAGAGATGCAGAAGAGAGTGAAGTCAAGAAATTCTGAAAACTGGAGGTAATGATGATGGTGGTTAATTAAATGGAGACTTCAGGGGTAGGACAGTAGGCACTGTGGATAAAAATAAGTTAAAATGGCCCGTTCAGACTTAGCTTAGTGATAGCCCTCACTAGAGATAGCTAGGAGATCTCAAAATCTTCTGATGACTTTGGCTTTGGCCTCTCTTCCTTCTTCTTTTGTTTTATTTGTGTCTTTTTAAGTGGTGAAGATGAGGAAGCTTAGGTTAAGAAAATTGAGATAATTATTTCTTGAATAAGCACATTGCTGTCATGCCATATTGTATCAGAGTAATTGTGCATGTACCCTGCAGACAGACATTCACACCAGCTGCCTCCCACCTCTACATAACTGAGACTTAAGAATTGGAAACTCTCCCACAAAAATATCATAATTGGCTCAAAGCTCACAGCCAGCCAGCCAGTTGCTGTTCTTGTTCATTGTGTGAGCCGCCCCCTTCTCATTCAAAGGGAAACAAAATGAGGAGAAGCGGGGCCACTCTTTCCATGCTGGACCTTGCTAATCTATTTTCAGCCTTAGAAGTTCTAATTTATTGTTACCAAAAAAATGTGCTAAAATCAAGATGTTAAAAATAAAATTTAGGTAGGGTTAAAGGATTTCACTTCCTACTTCCATACGACATGGGGAATTTCACAGGAATCCTGCTATTTAACCTTTGTATCCCTTGTATCTTTCCCTTTTGCCCACCGTTTCTGAAGGGGAGAGAATGGGGGGGGCAGGGCGCAGGAGAAAACCTACCTAAAGAGAAAAGGTAGCAAATGGTGACAGAAAACCCTCCCCTCAGATACTTCCAGAAGGAAAATGTGATGAGCTGTAGGAACCTAAGGAAGCCACTATACGTATCCACACTTGGCTTCTCTTTCTGTCATTTCCCTGATCAACTCGCGTGCTCTGAAATGAACTTCAAAAATTGTGCCTCTTCCCAAGGTTTCCTTCCCCCAGACTTCATAACGCACTCCATCACCCAGGTCTTTGCAAAATTAAATGAAACACAGCAACAAATAAAGGTCATCCAAGGTAAATAATTTATGCCCTTGAGAAAAGGAACAAGCTCATCTTCAAGGATGGGTTGGAATAAGTGGTCATTGTCTCAGCACTCTTGTTCTGTTCAGTTTTTTGCTTGACATTTGTGCCTGTCCTCTGAACTCTTGAGGGTCAACTAAACCATTTGGGCTAGAGTTAGCCTGGTCTGCTACTCAAGTCACTTCCAATAAATATACCTTGAGCAATGTATGTTATCTCTGTGTACCAGTTTCTTTTGGAAATAGCCTCTCCTATGCCCACAGGTTTCCTTTGAAAAATAATGAATATTGTGATTAAAAATAACTTTGACAAAAATTTAATACTAATGCAAATAATAATATGGATTTTTAAATGCCACAGATCTGCTCTGCCCTTCAGCTGTTCCCTATTATTAATATTAATATTTTTCTCAAATATGTACCCTCAGATTCTTTTTTCAGGCCTTTAGTTTGACTTTTACATTATTTCCATAACCTACAAAAGTAGTCATTTAAGAACTCAGAATTCTGTCCTCAGCGACCCCTGATGCCTCCTCCAACCTCAGTGCCTTCTTTGCTTATACTGTTGTTCCACTCAGCACCCACACTGTTCTGGACCCCAATCATCTAAACAGGACGTTTCTTTCAAGAGATCAATTATAATCTTTCCCAAAACCGACTTCCCTGCATTCATCCCACTCAGCACTCTCTCTTATACTTCACACCTTCACGTGCTCACCACCTGGCTACACCAGTGTTTCCCAAACTGTGGGTCTCATTCTCTTGACAGGTTGTAAAATCAATTCAGATGATTTCTATTAGCATTTTTTAAAAACTAGAACAGAACAGAAAATATCAGAATGCATTGCACATAAAAATTAAGTATTGTTTTGTGAAACATTATTTTGTAAAATTTAGCTTACACACACAAATATATAGAGTCATGATGTGAAATCCATTTCTTACTGTGGTGCAAGTCAAAAAAAATCTGAAAGCCACTTGTTATACCATACCATGCAGTGTTTGATTTATATAGGCTGTCTTTCTATGGCGTTCTCACCTCAGGGAGAGCACTTTCCCTCTCCAAGTAAATTTTAAATTCTCCAAAGACAAGCATCATATCTTTCATCTTTTTTAGTATCTTCCAATGAACCTACCATCAAGAGTACTTTGCTTGCAAGTTCCACACATATGCAAAAACAAACCAAACTCAAAGACCTGAAATTATTATGGCGGAAGGAGAGGCAACAAAACAACATATAACAAGCAAAGATTAATCAACTCTTAACCTGAAAATTTTAAAGAAACCAAGAAGATGGGTAGGTTGTGTTTTGTTTTGTTAGCGTTTGTTTTGGAGGTGGAGTGGTCCACTCAGATCCCCGGAAGGTAGAGGAGTTAGTGGAAGCTAGAATTGTCAAAGAAGGCTTCCTGGGAAAGCTTTGAAGATCAGTCTTGTAAAAAGGCATGAAAACAAGAGTAACTATGGAACGTACAGAGGGGAGAAAGGAAGCCATAAAATCTCTGGTGTTTATTGGAAAACAGTCAGATCACAATGAACCCAAAGCAGCAGTGGATACACAGTCCAGACCTCAATAACTGGTAAGGAAGCTAGAACTCACCCTCCTTCTCTCTCTGCCTTGCTCCAATAGTACGTAATTACTATAATGTATATTTTCTATTTTTATTACTGTATGATATACTTTATTTTTATGTTTATTAACTTCGTTTAGTGTTTGTCTTTCCTCACTAGAATATAGGTTTCAAGAAGGCAAGGATTCCTCTGTTGAATCATCAGTGCCTAAAACAGCACCTAGCATATAATACATGTTCAATCCATATCTGTGGAATAAAAGAACATACAGAAGAACAACTAAAAGGAGTAGTGAAACCAGACCTGGAAGAAAAGCCTTCTAGGACCACATTATTATGTTCTTGGTAGATATAACGTCCTTCCTCAGTAGCTAGCATAATATTTAAACCAAAACGGGTGGCCCTATTAGAGGCTAGTTCTTTATAACAAGGAGACGTGATAGCACTATTCTCTTCAGCAATGCGGTGACCATGCAATTATCAATTTTTATATCTTGTATTTCTGAAAATTTTAAGGAAACAAAAAGATGGGTAGGTTGTGTTTTGTTTTGTTACCTTTTGTTTTGGAGATGGCGTGGTCCACTGAAAATTCAAAGATTGTCATTACCTAGGTCTCATCCTTACAATTCCCTGTTTCTTCCCAGTTAAGTCAGTATTGTGCTATGCTGCCATGGGCTGTCTACAAGGTGTGATTTAGATAATACAGCATTAGCCTTCTCTAAATATCTCTTTTAATAC